GAAAATTTCTCCTCAAGGCGAACGCGCTGCCTGCGCCCATGCAGATAACTGCGAAACCACTCAATCACCGATGGAGATACGTTAAGTGAGCGCAGCAATGCCAAAAGAACCTCAAAGTCGACAGTGTTAAAAGCATTGCTAAAGTCCAACAATGTTAATACCGTTAGGAGACCATTATCCATTCCAAAGCGTATATCATCAGTTACTTTAAGTAACGCAGTCGTAGTGCTATGGCCAGGACGGAAACCGGATTGAAAAGGGTTGAAAAGATCGTGGCGAGAGAGGAATGTATTCAATTGATTATGGATAAGGCGTTCAAGAACCTTAGACAGAAAGGGGAGGATAGAAATGGGACGAAAATCGACGATGGTTTGAGGGTTCGATCTTTTAGGAAGAGGAATAATTTGGGCTTGCTTCCAAACTGACGGGAAGACTCCGTTGGAAATCGAGCTGTTAAAAAGGAAGGTAAGGACAGGAAGAATAATATCCAGGATAGGTATCAACATGTTTCGACTAATGCCGTCACTCCCCACCGCATTGGAAGAAATAGAAAGCATGCTCTTCTTAACGTCACATTCAGTGAATCGAGTAAAGACAAAAGGAGAGTAGTCTGGAACTGGTAACGAAGAAAAGTACTTGGTATCGAAAGAAAAGTATCGAATAGTTACTTGTATTTATCGTATCGTTTCATCCCTAGGCACAGCGGATTTTCTGCTTGAATTAGTGCGCTTGTCTTGGGAAGCAACCTCCACCTTACAGAAGACTACAGTAAAATAACACTACCTTTTGGTGGTGTTGTGTTTCTGAAGGTCAGTAGGGTTCCAGAGTTCCATGGGATAGGGGGGGGGGGGGGGCAATAGGCCGTCAAGGTAAGGATGGCTTGAGTGGCACACCTTCTGCCGCATCATCTATCTTCGTTACTTAACTCCACTACACTTAACATCAGGTGGAGTGGGGTATTGGTTGCGCCTCGTATGAAAAACCGACCTTACTGTACCTTCAATATATTATTTAATATATTGTAAACTTAAGATGAAGTGTCATTTTATTAATCACCATCTTGTGTATATATATGTATACTGTACATATTTAAATATAAGTGTGTTTTGTTTGTATTTATTATATTCTTTTTATAGTATGTATATATATGTATCTATGTTAATTTGTATATATATGACTGGGAGACAATGCTTTTAGCATTTAGTCCGCCTTTTGCACCAATGTTAAATATTTTGGTCAATAAAGTTTAAAAATAAAAATAAATAAAATTGTCAAGCTTCATTGTTTATGGTTCATAATTATGATACTAGTAGATCATAGCGGGCTTTTACCAATAAATATTTTGTAATTTTTCTATAAATAAAAAATAAAATATTTATTAGAGCGAAATATGAAATGCTGAAGCAATCTCCAACCTCTGTCAATCATAACATCACCATCGCTGTTCCACATATTTGTTATATATATATACACTGGGGATTGTGTGTCGGCTGATTGCTGTCGAATCAATCCGGCAATTCATGAGGTTGCTAATACCCAATCGTTGTTTCACAATTGGATTGTAACGCACCAATATGCGATAATGGCAATTAAATTATTCGCCCGAAGAGGATTTTATCAAGTGTTTTTGTCGATCTGATAGATTTGTAAAAAACAAATGTTGAATTTTTAAATTGTTCATTTTGGTAATTTATATGTACGAAATGCTTATAATTGGATACCATTACTCCTTAAAATATTTAAATTATATCGAAATGAAAATCTATGTTTAACTTTATGAAACACAACCGTTAATGGGCCAGCAAGTAGCCTCTAACTATAGCCACATTTGAATAAAACAATTGACGAAACCAACCTATTTCAATTCATCATCATCATCACTGCTGGGGCACAGGCCCTCCTATGGATGGAATAGGGAGATTGGGCCATGACCCACCACGCGGGCCCAGTGCGGAGTGGTGGGTGCTGACAACTGCAGAAGCAGCCGGGACCAACGGCTTAACGTGCCTTCCGAAGCACGAAGAAGCTCGAGATTATTAAATTTTTGGTCACTCATCCACTGCGAAAGTTGCTTAACTTCAACGATTTAAGCAGCAGGCAAACGCACTAACCACCTGTGCCTTCGAGCTCCTAAATTGCTAGTCACTTTTTTTTTTTTTTTTTTAAAAAACCCTCTAAGCTGCTTAGCGCGAAGCCGCGGGATCCCCGTTTAGGGATTCTCCGCGTCTCCGCACCTAGCAGCCTCCCGGTCAAGCCGGGGCTCCACGGCAGGGGTCTCCCGGGGTATCGCGGGGACCCCGCAGACGTGCGCGGGTAGGCCCGCGCGCGGGGGCTGAGTACGCGGCCTAGTGCCCACCGTACCGCCCCCCCGTCCGCTGCGGAGGGCTACTTGGGCGTGCCCGTGTAGCTCCCTCCGCCGCCCCCCTCTTTGCAGGACAGAACTACAAGGGGGGGCTGCCGTCACGGGGTCCGTCGGTGGCCGGCACGGCCATCGCCATGCCGGTCAGCGAGGGACCCCTCGGGTAGGGTCATGGGACGGGCGCAGCCAGGGCGCGCCGCCGTCCTCTCCTACCCGTCCTCCTTTGGCGGGAGGGAGCGGGAGGATGATCCTCTGGCCGCTCCCTCTCAGCCGCCTCCTTCTGCGAGATGACGTTCTCGCAGAAGGAGGCGGCTGCCTCCCACGCCCTGTCGCTGCGGAGCATGGCCTCCACCATGCTCCGCAGCGAGAGGGCTCCGCATCCCAGCGCCGCAACGAGGTCGCGGCGCTGGTGTCGCCAGGCCGGGCACTCCAATAAGGTGTGCTCGGCCGTGTCGTCCGGGGCGCCGCAATGATGACATTGCGGCGTCTCCTCCCGACGTGCGACACGGTGCAGATAGTGACCGAAGCATCCATGCCCGGTCAAGACCTGCACCATGCGGAACGTGAGGCCGCCGCGCCGGCGACCCAACCATTCCTCCAACACCGGACGAATGGCTTCTATCGTCCGGTGGCCGGCGCTAACATGGGCGAGTGCCTCATCCCATCGCTGCAGAGCTTCGCTCTCGGCGATGGAACGGACCTGCCTCAGCTCTGCTGGGGCAAGTCTCTGCGGACGTCGCAAGAGGGCCCTCGTGCGGGGTTTGAGGCACTCAGCCCAAACCGGGGCTCCGTAAAGTGCCATCGACCGTATCACCCCGTGATACAGTCGACGGCACGCAGCACCTGGTCCCCCCACGTTCGGGAGGACCCTGCCGAGTGCGGCTGCAGCGGCACACAGCCGTGGAGTGAGGAGCTTAAAATGCTCCTCGAAACTCCATCGGGGATCCAATACCAGGCCGAGGTACTTCATGCTTCCCTCGACCGGTACCCTCGATTTGTCGAGGGCCACTTCCAGGCCCAGGAGGTGGATGCGTCGGACGACCATTGTGGTGCCGACCGACGCTAAACGCACCGCATCCTCCACCTCCTTTGCCTTCGCCGCGACAAGAGTGTCGTCGGCGAAGCAGACAACCTCCATTCCTGGGAGGAGGCTGCCTCGCAGCACCCAGTTGTACCCCAGGTTCCAGAGCAGTGGACCCAGCACTGAACCCTGGGGTACACCTGCGGCCATGGCCCGCGAGCGGATGCGCCCGTCGGGCCCCTCGTAGAGGACCACCCTACCTTGTAGGTAGTCCTCTACAATGGCACACAGGTATGGAGGCACTCGGTGAAACCTTAGTGCCTCCATAATGCACTCGTGGGGGAGGCTGTTAAATGCGTTGCGGATGTCTAACGACACCGCAATAACAGCCTCACCCCGCGCCGTGGCCGCCTCGGTCCACCCCTTTAAAAGGGCCACCGCCTCCATTGTGGACCGGTTGCGCCTGAACCCGAACTGACGTTCGGCCAGGTTCGGGCCCGGCCCCTCCAGGTGCTCGACGATTCTCACCGCCAGGATCTTCTCTAAGAATTTCCCGGCATCGTCGAGCACCACAATCGGCCTGTATCCCGAAGGGGAGTCTTCCGGGCGGCCGTCCTTTCTGAGAAGGACGAGCCGCCCCTGCTTCCACCTCCTAGGGAAGCGGCCCGCGGCGATGCTGACATTCAGCACCGCTAGGAACCGCCTCCTTAGGGGCCCCAAGGCGAGGGCCAACACCTTAGGTGGGACCCCGTCCGGCCCGGGCGCCGTGTTTTTTGCCCGGAGCCTGTCCCTCACCGCATCGAACTCCGCGTCCGACACGGGAGGGGGGGGCGGGATCGGCTCCTCGGGAAATTGCTAGTCACTAATTCAAGTGTGGTGAGACAGGCAGATTTTATTTTTTGCTTATGGAGCACCCATCTAGACAACTAACCTCCACCGTAAAGAATACACCATTAAAACAACAGTACTAAGAGGTGGTATTGAGATTCTGTTGGTGAATGTGGCTCCAGAGTTTCGTAAGGTGTGGGATAGGTTTCGAAACCGTAAGATGAAGATGCCTGAAAAGTCTCTTGGCAACTGGAATCCAATCGTGCATAATATCTTTGTGTTTAGCTGACGTAAAAATCGTGTTTCAATAGTAGTTCACTAATATTGCATTTTGACACAGTTCTTGTTCCCAATAAAAAAATAACAGATAACTATAACAAATAAGTAAGCAAATACGTTTCTTATTTTGTGTTTTCCCAACAATAACTGTTTTAACATAATAACTTATTTCAAACCAAAGCCACTGAAAAACCATTGACACACGATTAATAATTTAACTTGACAGAATCGACATCCATTGGGGTGAGGTAGTTTGTTACGCCTCATATAAAACGTATTATCTAATTTTATAAATAGTTACTGTTGGTAACATTAACGAGTCTCCAATTATTTAAGACGGTTTTAATTTTTAATTACCTGGTTATCTTAAAACATCTAGCATTTAAATGCTTAAAAAATAAAAATATGACTACCTAATTATTGTTGAGTAGTAACAAAATTCTACCCCTAACAATAACTTCATGACATCATATTAAGTATGTATATTTTAACCTTTGTATTTTGCTATCCCAGGTGAACTCAGCGTCATGTATCTCTTCGCCCGATACCGTTTCAACTGGGACGAAGTCAAATACAGCATATATTCCACATACAGCCTCATTACTCATTCAATAGGTGAGTAATTTCAATATATCCAATAATGAAGGTAATTTTCTGTGGAAAAAATAAGGTTTTTTTTGTTATATTAATGTTACATATTCTGCGCGGGGGAAGCCTCCTTCTAATACATAAATGATACGATATTATTTTCATTGTATAAATTGGAGATAACACATTTGATTGCGGATCATTGAAGAGAAAAAGACAACAATTGAATTTATAAAAATAGCAAAAAGACTTTGATAAAACATGTTTACTTTCATTGCCAAATTGACGTATTACTTATTTTTGGCACTCTTGGGACTACTTAAGCAGTTTTCGCATTGGCATAGCGAACCCAATCAATACAAAAGTCTTAGGATTTGACACAACTATTCTACACAAATATTCTAAGTTTATAATTAAGTGTGTTGTTACTTAATTATAAACTTAGAATAAGCTTGGATTAGTTACTCTATGTTTTATCTCTGTCTAGTAAATGTCTAAAGGCATTTGAGTGACATGAACAAAACACGGCGTAACTTATTTATTCTTTGTTTATTATTAAGGGGAACAATGTGTCGAACCATACACTGCGCATAGGGAAGAAACGATACTATCTAGGTATTGATACTTTTACTCGATACTGTATCGGTCATAAGGTATCGATACCTACTCGGTGTCGAATGAAAAGTATCGATACTTACTTGTATCGATAAATACTGACGAACGATATTACAATTACAAATTCAGTCACAGTTTTATTAATCGAAAACAAAATAACGGCTCACGCAATGCGATGAACGAACGACTGACTGTATAAATTGGAATAAATATAAATCATACGCAAGGCTGCCAACTGAGCAGTACAAAAGCGTTCGCGAACCAACAATTCGGAAAACAGAGTAAATTTTCTGCCTATGAGTTTTTTTAATACTTCTCAGTGAGTGACCGACCGAGTACCGATTCAAGTACTTACTTCACGATACTACTTGTTACTCACTTCTAAAGTATCGATGCCATAAGTACTTGGTATCGAAAGAAAAGTATCAAGTAGTTACTTGTATTTACTCGTATCGTTACATCCCTAACTGCGCATTTTGCAAACCGCAACTGCATCTCCACTATGTTTCATAGTTTCTTGCACATAACTTATGTACATGGTGTAAACGATTTGTTGAAACTCTATGATAAATGAACGGTCACCCAAAAAACTATTTTATACTTATAGTTTCTTTTCAGGCAATCTCTAGCTCCAAGTTTTGTCTCTGTTCATTGAATGAGGAAAGGCATTTGAGTCATATGAACAAAACACGGCGTAACTAGTCTAAGTTTATTCCTCGTTTATTAATGATGGGGTACCAGTCGACAAGTAAGAGTGTGAGAAAATAAAATATTATCACGAAAATAAAAATATGTCTCATATGCATTTACCTCTTAACTTTGACATCTTTTAATCAACTTGAACTCATCTTCTATGCTTTATGTTCGTTAATCTCAAATGAGTAACAGTGGCAAAACAAAATCTTATTCAGAAACTATAGCTATCCTAATTTATGAATAAGAAGTTTGTTCTTCAAAACTCTTTATATTGGACCTATTAAATAGTTTCCTCTCTCAGGGACCCTGTTCTCGATAAGCGTGTTCAGCAAGAAATTGGGAGCGGACGACTCGGTCCTGGGCATAATATCTACAAGCAGTAAAGTCTGCGGAGCTTTAGTGCTAGCCTTCGCCAGGAACGACTATGAGGTTTACATGTGTAAGTAGACATTCTAAATAAGTACCTACTTCCTTTTTATTCAGATATTCTAATTTATTAGCAAAAGCTGCGAGACTCCGGGCTATAATTCGAAACTGTAAGTCTATTTGAGAAAGATTTTTTTTTGTATTTCACATTCACATTTCAATTAGTGTCTGTTTAATCTTATATGATTCTTGGATAAGCCCGACTCAGAGACGTTAATTTTTTTTTTTATTTAAGTTGATGTTTTTACATAATAAGTTTTCATGTTCTTTGCTATATCAATAGAGGACAAGACAACTAAGGAATCTATTACTAACCTGTGATCTCTCAGTAACGTTAGGTATATAAAAAAATCCTTGGAGATAATACGTCAGAATGTAGCTAAGTATTTAAAATTAACGCCTGACTAGGTGACTGACCGATATCTTTATAATCTCTCTGAATATCTATTTATGAAAAACTGTAATTTAATTTAGTTCCTAATGTCATGCGGTTCTTTCGCAACATTGCACGTGCGGCCTTGTATATGAAACATTTCAAAATGTTTGAATGTAAAACCAAATTCTTAAAACTTTCCAGAAAAAACAAAGATAGATTAACTTGCAACAAAGTTCTTCAGTTTGAAAGATGATCATGTTTCAGCCCTTATTCTATCTCTATTTAACTTTAATCAAATAACAAAAATGGAGTGATATGTGATACAGGATTGAACCTTAAATTAATTTAAGAATATTGGTGCAAGTGGCCCTTAATTGATGAATTGTGTGCAAATAACACAATATAGAGTTCAGTCTAACTCGTTACAAACACTGTTTTTTTTTTCTTTTTCAGCACCCCTCTTGGAAATATTGAATGGGACAACCGCAATCGCATTACGTTCGATCGCATCCAAACTGGTGTCATATCAAGAACTAGGTGAGAAATTTAATAATGGAAGCACGCGAATTGACAACTTCGTGAAATGATTAGTTCCGCCGACTGATTCTATTTCCTCACTAGTTTGGCGAAAAGGAATGTATTTGAATGATATTATGTCCTTTGAATATGTCAGTATGTGCTTGGTAACTAGAAAGATTATTCATGTGATACACCGCACTCATGAGGCCTGTCCTTTGAATGGAATAGCGAAATCGATCCTGACCCACCATTCGGGCCCAGTGCGAATTATTGGTTGTTAACAACAGCAGATGTAGGTGGAACCACCACAGTTTTATGTCTTCTAAAAATGTTGGTCACCAATCTTTTTCAAGACTGGCTATTGCGACAGTTAGCCTAACTTCCACGATCGCAGACCGACCGTACTACCCACTGCGCCATCGAGCTCCTCAAGACGTCATTTTCGTAAACCTTCATCTATCCACTGCTGGGTCTCCTCCAAATGCGCCAATTCGCTCGGTGTTGTGCCATCGGGATCCAGATCCTTCCTGCTACCTTAGTGATGTCATCGGACTTCTCACACTCCTGCGTCATGTTCTCGTCGTCATGACATCATAATTAAAGCAACTTTCTCACGTCTTTTGTCTTCAGGAAAAGTGTACTCGCTGTTTGGCGTCGCTGAAACGACAATGCCGCTGATTTTCGCGCCGCTCTACTCCCGAGTGTACTTGCTGACGCTACAGGTCCTGCCAGGCGCTGTGTTCCTGATGAGTGTGGTGGCCACCCTGCCTTCTATAGCCATATTCGGGTATGATAATAAGAATGTACACCCTGTTTGGTGTCGCTAAAACAACAATGCTGGTGATTTTCGCGCCGCTGTACTCCTGACTGTACTTGCTGACGCTACAGGTTCTGCCGGGTGCCGCGCCGTGTTACTGATGAGTGTGAAGGCCACACTGCCTTCTATAGCCATATTCGAGTATGATAATAACAATGTACCCCCGTTCGTTTCGGATTACGGAGGGTGCGGGTTCGAGTCCCGTCTGCCGCCTGGTCCGCGTGGATTTTTTTCTGGTAAAATTTCCGTTTAATAAGTGTTTTATTTAATTTTCAATGAAAAATTTCATAAACAGTGTGAATCTTAAACGTTTTTTTATTATCTTTTTAGGGTTCCGTCTGTCAGTCTGTCATAGTCATCTCTTGGACGCAAATAACAAGAAACACATCACTCATTAAAATGATTGAATGTTTGATGTCTATTGAATTCAATATTTCAGCTGATTAACATAGACTACTTACACTATAATTTGTTCCAGATGGTTCTACTGTGAACACAAGCAGGATATGAAAGAAAAGAGGTTGAACGTGGTCCCGCCATTACCGAACGAGATTCCAGTCATTGTGCCATAGTTAATTGAATAGAATAACTCGACGTGAGATGTGGTCAGTACCCCTAGCACGAACCATTATCGAATCCGAATAGTTTGCAAACTGAAATGTCAATGTCAAATTTCGTATGGAAACTTGAACAGCAGCGGCCCAAAGTACGTAACGAGAACTAAAAATCAGTACACATTTGACAATGACATTTCGGACTCGCAAACGATACGAATTCGATATTGGTTCGTGCTAGGGGTAATGATGTCCGATTTAACATCTTTTCAGGAGAGTCATTTATTGTTCTTTTAGCTAAATCAGTAAATACTCACGTTCAGTAAACTTTTGTGCCTTTTATTTTATATATTTATAATTAACATATAAATAGTAATAATTAAACTTTTAATAAAAATAATATGATATCCGACCTTATGCTTGCTCGATTTGATTTGTGTAATCCAACATTTTTATTCCTAACTAAAGATATTACGCTATGCTTAAATTGTTTGAAGGTATTCTTTAAAATGAGCCATAGACAAATTATGACACATTTCCCCAGGGCTCAGCTTAGATTAAAACAAAAAGGGTAGATACGGCACTAGCCTCACAAAAGTGATCCGCATAAATTGTGGTCCACGACCCTAATCGCTTTAGTCACAACTTGACATGCAAACGACGTACATGTGAACGCCAAAAATAAATATTGCTAATATTTTGTGTTTTTATGATAAAACAATGCCTAAGTGTGTTTTTAAAAAGTGCTCAAATTGCTCAAGAACTAAAAATAAAACCCACGGCATCACTTTTCATTCGTAAGTACTATAAAATATATTTTTTCATAAAAAATACTGTTTGTTTTGAATCTTATTCGGTAGTGACGTCGAGTACTGGTCACGTGATTGATCGGTAGTGCAGTGACGCTGATCTCGCCGTCTCGTTCGCGCTGACGTTGAAACTTAACGTGCTGTTTCGCTCGGGTCGGTAATGCAGTGACGCGGATCTCGCCGTCCCGTTCGCGCTGCCGTGGGATCAGTTTTTGTCTGATGCAAGTATGAGCGTACCGTATCTACCCTTTTTTTTTAATCTAAGGGGCTCAGTCTCATTTCTCCACAAGTTAGCCATGGCTTACCCGGAAGTCAGCCTCTTACTTATTTCTCATATTTAGCATATTGCATTAGCCACCATAACTGTCACCAACAAGAAAGTCACATACTACAAGATACACACATTATTTGATAGTATGGCTGTTCTAAGTGTTCTTGTAAGTAAGCTATTAGCAGCAGACAACGAAGTTATTCTCTAATGGATCAAGTAACGACACAGCCGACGAACTAGCAATCAACGCACATGGTGTCAGGCCCAGAGCCACTGCTTCCATTACATGGATGCATCAAAGAACCATGCAGGGCCACAACACCCATTATGACAATACCGAGGGCTGGAGACAATCTAAGGATAGGTATCTTTCCATGTCTCAACCCCAAACTAACCAGAAAACAACTAAACCGTAACCGTATTGACCTCCTAGTAATGCTGGGCACTATAACAGGATACTGTCTTCTCAGTAAGCATTTACTAACAATACGTGTTACATATAGTTTTCTGTACATAGGATGTCTCGTGTTATTCAGCATTATATCAGTGTAGCAGAACACCGGGTATCACTACTCGGAACGCCTAGGACACTCTTAGAAACCTGTGAGTCTCAGGAGACTACTGCACTTCTGGAACAAGCTGGGCTGGCTATGCTAGCTCAAAATCTCTGCACGCACAATGGACCAAGTATAGTCTACGTGTGGAAATGTATTACTAGTAACTAATCCCCAGCCTAGCATTTAGAAATGGGTTTGACCTATCATCTTCAATATTTCAATATTGAGGGACGATACGCCCTGCGGTTCCGAATCGTCAACATAACTTGTATGAATTGCTCTTCTTTGTATTTTTGGATTTTGTTGACATGATGGAACTCTAAGGCCCGTATTATAGAAAGATTCTCAGTAATTGATCTAGTCTTAGGTATATTCAGAAAGGGATGTCGCTATATATAGCACATGGCGACATCCCTTTCTAACTGTACTCAAGTACAGATCAACACACAGGGAGATTGGGCCATGACCCACCACGCGGGCCCGTTGCGGGCACGTGTTGGAATATTTTTACACACATGTTTAATGTGGTTGAAGTTTAGAAACATCTTTCAAATTTTAAATTGAAAATACATTTCTAAGCCGCTCTTCATCGCCTTAGCTCGCTAATAAACTATTAAATAATAAAGAAAATATAAACTGCTTTAACTGCTTACCATCAGGTGAGCCGTCTGCTCGTATGCCCCCTATAACATAAAAAGAAACAGTACATATCACAGTATTTTTAAAGGCGAAAAAGAGTTATGGATTTATTCAATATTTTTTTCGTTCAAGACGTTCAGAGCAAGGAGTAACTCTCTCGACTGGACGATGGGGATGATCCCCATGTAAGTGTTCAGAATCTCTCAAATCTCGGAAAAGCTATAATTTCCTAATACTTATAAAAGCCTAGCAGCTTTATTTAACTAGAACTATAACTTCTTGTGAATACCTTAATTTTTAAGAACGTCTCAGTATTTGACCGCTAGTTCATGATATTAAGCTGGGGTTGACAACTTACCGCAATACCGCAAGCAAATCTTACAAGCCACAAGTTCCAACGGCTAACCTCAGGGATGGATCTCCTCTACACAATTTTGCCGGTCACCATTACTGCCAACAAAATATTACAGAGCGGTTCAAAAATCAACGTTCGCCAGAGGAGGTCTTTGGATTATTTTAAACTAGTCATGTTTTTATTTATTTTTAAGCATTTAACTGCTAGATGTTTAACTCTAAAGAAAAGTTTACTAGAAAAATATCCACGCGGACCAGGCAGCGGACGGGACTCGAACCCGCACCCTTCGCAATCCGGGCGAATGCACTGACCATTATGCTACCATGGCCCTCGCCACGTCGAAATTTTTGTAGCCTTAAGCTGCAAGGCAGCGAAGATGAATGCGAAGAGATGGCGTAAACTTTTCTTTAGATTTAAACATCTAGCAGTTAAATTCTTAAAAATAAATAAAAACATGACTATAATTGCTATTCCTTCTTTCAAATGTTTAATACTTGAAAAAGTATTCATTTATCATTGTGGGTAACCTACAATGCGAAGAGATGGCGCTGCCTTGCAGCTTAAGGCTAGGAATATTTCGACGCGGCGAATAGGGCCGTGGTAGCATAATGGTCAGTGCATTCGCCCGGATTGCGAAGGGTGCGGGTTCGAGTCCCGTCCGCTGCCTGGTCCGCGTGGAATATTTTTCTAGTAAACTTTTCTTTAGATTTATTTTAAACTGTCATGGTCACTAATATTCGATTAATTAACAAGATTTCAACCATGTGTATTTGTCTTGTCCAATTTATTATGATTGAAATAGAATCCATATATGTCAAGAAAATAACGCTGTTTCCATACGGGTTGATAAATTTTTATTCGCTGCATAAATAGGCTATTGGACAGTATGAAAAACAAAGTACCAATTGTTGGCATCTGTATATAATAGGTATACTAGCAGCGAGTTAACTTTTCGGAGAGAACAAATAATTAATAACTTTTCTAAAAAATCATTAAATAGAAATGAATCTTTGTTCTATGGTCACGTTACCGAAAACGCCTGGGATTGGTGAACACTAAAATGACGTCACACGCTAGTAAACTTCCGGCCAAAGTGATATTACATTGTATTACTTGACGTTTTAGTGACAGTCCTGTGACATAAGATACTAGCATGAAGTTAATTATAGTGAGACACCATACATTATGGCATCTCACTATAGAGAAACGTTTTCGCGGGAACTTTAAAATGTTTTTTATAATTTGGTGTTTTTACTGAAATACACAACAGAATGATGAACATTCACTTTCTATAGACTCTATAAATAATAGGACATAACATGAGATGGTTTTTTAAAACTTTTAATATACCCTATTAAAAACATTAATAGAAAATTAAGAAGGTACTACGTACAGTCTGCTTCGAGACTAATTATTTTCGGGACTGTGTTTATACGCTTGATAAATTGGGCAGAAGGCTTATGAAATATTTTAGTTTTCTGAAAGCTTAGGCAGCGTTGTTTCATCTACAGATAAATTTGACTATAGTTGAAATACAAAATTTTGCTAATTATTATTTTTTCTCTAAAAAATTATAATTAGCAAAATTTTAAACATTTACTTTGTATCTGACTTGACATTGGTGTCGATTCTGGCATGATTTTCTAAATCTAAACTTAAATTTGACAACAGTGTATCCTTGTCATTTTCTATAAAGAATGAAAAGGAGAGACTGATATTAAATTTAGTTTTAAGTTTAGAGAATCATGTCAGAATTGACACCATTATCTATTTATATTCAAATTTTACTATCGATGAAACAACGCCGCCTGTCATATCACAGCTGTACAAACACAAGTCGTTAAATACCTTTAAACAAAGACATAACGAGCTAATTAAAAATAAATCAAGAAAATTAAGTAAACGATAAATAAATGTAGTCTTTCGTCTATTTTTTTAATCTTCCGTTCTCCCTTTTGTTCGTTATTCATTTCTAGAAAAGCCACTTGTTTGGAGGGCATTTTCACCAAATCGCATTACATTACACCAATACGATTTGCTGAAAATGTCTTTCTAGTGGGTATTTTCGACGATGTGTGGTACCTTACACAAAGCGTGAGTTCCCGTTATTCAGTAAGCTGATTGCTTCATTATCGCTTCTGATTGCTGAAAACAGAATGCGGGCGTCTATACAAATGAATTATATCAGAGAATTAACTTGCGAAGACCACTTTAATAAACTAGTAATCACTAGTAACTATTACACCAATTGGCTGTTATTAAAGAAGTACTTTTGAAATTTCCTTATAGCCTGCGCAGACGAGGGAATTTTGTCCGCGGAGGGCTTTTGTCAGCCGTAATAGATCGCTTAAAAATGTACCGAGTAATACGCACGATGGGTTAACCCCTCAGGTTCGAGTAGTTTAGAGACTCAAGAATTCACAGATTTCACTTCAAAAAGGAACTTAACTAACTTAATTTTTTTTTTTTCAATAAAAACTATTTAACTGTATCGTGATTTTTAGGGTTTTGCCCTACCCATAAGGTAAAAACGGAACCCCTATTGCTATGACTCTATCGCCTGTCTGTCTGTCCGTAGGTATGTCCGTCTGTCACGGGTCTGTAGATCGTAAACGGAATTAGTTACGGAATAGGGTATTTGACAAGTTTTAGGCAACGATCTCACGTTATTAACTAATGTTTATGAAGTCCG